TCTCTATTGTGGACGACGTCTGTAATTGTGAGAATGATTGACTTTGTGTGCGATGAAGCAGAAACAGGACCTCACACATATTTCACAAGCTTTTCTTTCTGTTGTTGATTTTGTTGCTGTTTTTGTCTCGATGTGCCAACCTAAGTAACAGTGGAGCTGGGTGTGTAAAGCAGATAATTGTATCTAATGTTCAGAAAAACAGTGCAGCTGCTTATTTGATTTAGAAGCTTTCTATTTTTGTTTGTAAAATAACTCGGGTGAAGGAAAGAGAATTATGTTTGTATTTTTTTTTTTTGTTTCTCTCTGTGTTCATCCTCAGTTTGTGTTGTTTTCATTTCTTTGTTTGTATCAACGTGTATGCAATGACAGTAAATGGACATGACTACTGCCTCTCATCCTCTGTCACTGGCTGGTCCTTTAAAAACCGAGTGTTTGATATGTTTTCTGCAGATGTATTGTTTGTACCTGACGCCTCGTAGGGGATCAGAATCACTAGAATCATTTTGGGGGGTCTTCAAAGCTGCTTTAAATTAACCTGGAGCTGTTAAAACCTGGATCATGACACCATCATGGACCTCATACCTGAGCTCATCTTCAAATACAAATCTTTCTCCTTCTCAAAGGTACGATGTGTATGATGATCAGACATGCACTCAGTGTAACGTAACACAACTGCCAACTACCTCCACGTACTCTGGCTCCACCAGTACATTTCTGCGAAGAAGTAGCCACCACATTATTCCTATTTCTTGGCTGTAGCATTCCAGTATCCTCTTCTGTATGTGTACTCTGTGATCTGTCATAAAGTACTCAACACAATCATAATATGCCTCCTACTTGTTGCCCTAACTATCACCAAGAAAACAATACGACTTAACTGGAAAAGCTGGAAAGAAATGAACATCTCCTAACATGACAGATATCAACCCAATCACCAGAAAAAATGTTGGTATCGTACCTTGCTGCAAAACCAGGGATACATTACATTTATTTATACATGATGTAGGAGATAAAACTTTGTTTCAGCAATGGTGTGGTTAAGTTTAGGCACAAACCCACTTGGTTATGGTTAGAAAATGATCATGTTTTGGCTCAAAATACACGGTTCTGGGGGCACAGTTCTGGCAGGAAATGCAACAATGTCTTAGTAAAAGACAACAGGGTTTTTGTGGTACTATCCCCAGTGGAAACACAATGACAGGTAGCTGGAAAACACCCAGGTTTGGTGCCTAAAAGGCTGCTTTAAACACAGCAGTGACTTGCTAAAAAACATCTGGTTTTGTTATTTGTTGGTCTCGAACAGTGGTGTGCAGCTTGGCAGGTGTCATGCCATCCACAATCCTCCCCACTTCAAGATGACAGAGTCAGCTCATATACTATGTTACTTTGGAAACGTTGATATGATCCGTATGAAACGTGCAAATATAACGTATACATGGTTTGCAGAAATGTACCATGTCAACCTTTTGTTCTGGTGACTGAGCTGCAGATATCACTGGAACAATCAGCTTTGAAAAGAAAAAAAAAAAAACTTGATAATTTAAATAAAATATTTTCAACAATTCTTATCTCTGTCCTGCTGCCAGTGAGCTAATGCCACAACTCAAGTATAAACAAAACTCATGCTGCAAAGTTCGCCTGGAATACATCCAAACCCAAACAGATCTCGCCGTTTGTTTATTTTCATTTATTTACTTCCACTCACTTTTCTTTTTGTTCGCTCCTTCTATTCTTTGTTTTTAAATGAGTTACTACTTTCTCCCCTACAGAAGTGTACTGGAGAAAAAAGGTCTGTTTTTCTGAATTGACGTGATTATTATCTCAGAAGTTGTAGAAAAATTTACACGAAAAACAAAAATCTGGTAATTGCAATTGTCTGTGTCCTTTTATGCCGAGTCCATACTGTCTACATGCGTATGCACTAAAAAGCGAATAAAGGGAGAAAAATGAATAAATAGAATAAATGTACAAAGTAAGTGTTGATATAAATATGGTTTTAGATGAGAACATAAACAAGTTTTTATTGAGAAATTGTTATACAGTTTAATTGTGAGAATAAAGAGTTACCTTATGCTTTTACATGATAAAATATACAACAAAATTAAAGTTTGTACACCTATAAAGACCCAATCCAAGTTTCAAATTTCAATCTAAAGACATAAAATCAACTGAAATATTGACATGTGTCATTTGAACAGTAAAATGTATTAAATAATTAACTGCAGGACTCACTCTGCTAGAAATTGTTTATGCAGTAACGTTTTATGAAGGGTTAATTTTCTATTAAAAAAATTACTTTTTTGTTTCCTCTCCTAATATCCGGGATATATAACTCATATTTCTTGGATATTTTACATATATTTTCTGGAATTTTTACCAATACTTAAAATACAAAAATATTATACTAATGTTTCTTTAATGTATTATTATTATTATATTTTGTATATTTCAATAATATTTTTGGGATATTCAATAGATATTTCTTGGATATTTTGCTAGTATTTTCTGTTCAAGTATTTTACTAATATTTTGGGGGATTTTTTTTTTTTTTTGGATTTTTACGAATATTTTTGAAAATATTTTTTGGATATTTATCTATAATTATCGAATAACATTTCATTTTAGACTTTAGAAATGTAGTAAACTCCAATATATCTTGGAATACAGAGTTGGAAAAAAATACCAATCTTTTGCTTAAATAAAATTTTCAATACCACAGCGTAAAAATAGGTACCCTAGAATTTTAAAATCAAAAATATACTTAAATTAGACTACAAAAAGTAAAAGTAAAGGCAGGTTACTCATTATTCAGAATGGCCCATGTTGGAATTACATTATAATTGAGGAATTATTGCATGTATCAATCACTATATTTCAGCTAGTCAGGTGGAGAGAGTTGGAGTTGGAGTTGCTATAGAGCTGTTTCACATCGGCGCGAATTTACTTAAAATGTTACTGAGAACGTCACCTTCCCTTCAGCGGAATCATATTTTCAATTTTAGTTTTATATTAGAAAATTTTATATTTAAGCTAGCACCGTCGCACGGGGCTAACAAGTAAGCTAATCGTCTGACGTTACTTAGCTAGCTTACAATAACTGCAAGCTATTTGACAGTAGCAACAGGTAGTCACCGTCACACACAAGGATGTAACAGTTATTTCGGGGATTATTACAAGTTTCACAGCCAACATTAAAGACTGTTGGAGAAACAGCTCAATGGGGCAGACGCGAGTGACAAGAAGAAGACGAAGTTTGAAAGGTAACTCACTGCAACAAAATGGCGACGGGCCAATTTGCCAGTTTGCGGTTCGTGGCCGTTAACACTGAATTTCTACAGATCCCGAACTCTGGAGAGCTGCAACCTACACAGCGTCCTTCCTGGACTTGAAGGACTTCATCATAAATCAGGCAGAAGAACATTGAAGCTCCTCAAAAGGTAGGACCTGTACTTAAGTAACTTTGTGCTGTGTGAAGCGTGTGTAGTGACAGGATGTGTGTTAATTGGGGTTCTGTTAGGTCAGGCTTAACTTATCTGTTTGTGATGGGCATAATTTGGGGTTTCCATCACCTGCACATCACAAGTCACATTTTATATTCCAGTGGTTGATATGATTGATCTGTGATAATTTCAGTGTCAATTTAAAAGTTGTTGTAGGCTGTTGTGTTGAACTGGTTAATTCACTCAAATTTGACTGAATTACATGAGCATGGGATGATACTCACCACAGCTCTTTCTGCAGTGATGTGGCCTTCTTTATGGTGTGACTGTTTTGTTATGTAGTAGCACATAATGGTGTGTGAGGCAGTAGTATTTAGCAGTTTTGTACCGTAAAGCTAAGGTGAATCTCAAATAGGCTACTAAAGGTTGAGTCTGTTTGGTAAAGCAGTGTTGATTCAACTTTTTCCGCCATGCTACAGTGATACTGAACTTGAGAGAGAGACACATTTAGTCAGAGAAAATAAACCACACATGTATGTGGTAGTGACTGCTAATTAGACCCATACATTTTTATAGTTAACTGTCCTTCCTATTCCGTTACTGTTTCATATTTGTCTTATGAAAATACAGAGGAGACAAATATTACATGTCATTTTGCCAATCCGGCTTTTTTCTTTTGTGAAAGTAGAGTTGTTGGGCCCTCGTGCATGGTACTGTGATGGGCCCTAGTGCATGCTAGTTACTAGTTGTAAAGGCTTGAGTGCTAGCTTGGCTTGTAGATATGTTGAGCTTGTCAGTCCTGACAGATGTTGCTCCCAAAGTAGCTACCATATTTTGTATTGCCTTGTCACATGATTGAATATAGACGTAACATCGGACTGTAGTTTATGTAGAAGGAGCATATCATTTTGTTATAGATTGCTACTGACTATTTTACCATTAAGATGGAAATGGAAACTTTTGAGGGCATATATAGCAAACGGCATTGTTTTACTTTAACATGAGTATTTCTTTGACAACAATGTTGGATGGCCGGTCTCTTAATGAGCCCCCCACCCAACCGCTGCCAGTGCAACTGTACTGCCTACACTGTCTATATTTACACACCTGGTGTACAGTTCTGTAGTAGATGACATTAATCTGCTAGATGCATGTAAAGCCTCAATTTTTGTTATGTGGTGTATTCAGGGTTTGTGTAATCTTGTAGCTTAGCTTTGATGTTTTCTTACAAAGCTGTAGTATTTCTGTTTTGTAAAGACAGGAATAAAGCCTGTATGTTTGATTCAAGTGTAATGTCAAACATATTTCCCACAGAAAAATCTGTTTTAGTAGATCTGTCTGATTTGTCAAAGATTCAAAGCCATTTTTAATTACTGGTCTGTCTCTCTTTGATTGTCTGTGTAGTATACTGCATTGATTTTAAGCTTCCAGTGTGCAAACTTCAGAATACAAAAGTCAGTGAATCAAGAGCAGACAAGAATGTGCTTTCAGCAAAAATGATTTTTATATATTGTTTATTGGCTGGTTGATTACATAGTTTTAAAAATTTAAATTGGTAAAAACAAATGTCATTCTAGAAAGACAATCAAATGATAATTATTTTTCCCTCTTAATAAAGGCGTGATTTAAAATTCCACTTCAGTCAGCTCAGTAAGGCAACTTTCCTCTAAATTCCTAAAAAAAAATCAGAATTTATGATCATACAGAGTTCTGTTGCTGTTTATTGATTCAGAAGTACTTGATTTGATATTAACTGTCAGTAAAGCTAACATTACCATCATTATAGCCTGTCATTACAGACGTAAAGTTATTGTGGAAGATACATCATTGCAACGCATCTCTGACACAAACAAAATGTTTTGCGTAGTTACACCGGCTGTCATTCCAGTAGTTTCCTGCAGGGAGAGTTTGAAAACGAAACATTAAGTAAAACAGCACATAACCATGCAGCACAATCTATTGATAAAAATAGATTTTCAAGCATCTTTAAATCTCCACGTTAAAAATGAACATCATGAAGTCAAGTAACAATATTTGTACCTCCCCAGTTCATCTCAATGCAGTGTTCCGTTCCCAGGTTGTTTGGCTCCCCGATACTCCAGCGCTTGTAGTCAAATGCTGAGCCATCACTCCACTGCCACCTTCCCTCCTGGAAGAGGGAGTGTGTTGTAATGCAATGTAATGCATACATAATAAGTTGATAACACATGACAATATCATGCGATTAAATACAACAATGCAGCAACCTACTGCCTCAAAAATTATAGCTCTCTATAAGCTTTGCAAAATACCCTGGAAAACTTTGTGTTAGATTGCTTTACTCTGCACAGGTGTGTGTGTGTGTTACTGTGTTCATGCCTGTAAGCGTCACATTATGTAACAGATGAGTTTGTTACATATACATTTACAGATTATTTAAAGTGTAGGCTATGTAGTCACAGTCTAGCACTACACACCAACACTGTATATGTAAATAATTAACACGTGTAAGACAAATGAGGTAAATAGATAAAGGTAATGAATTAACGTTAAGACCATAAGATATTTCATATGGTATCTCATGGGCTTCACAAAGGGCTTCATAAAAAAATAACTCTTTATGCTAAGTTAGCTTGTTATACGCTGGTTAGTAACACCATTACCAGACCACAAATAGAAGATCCTTCGATAACGTACAGTTCTGGTGTTTGGAGCCACTTTGGTTTTGCTGTGAGCCAAAGAACGAGGGACCGCACAGCTACATTCACAATTTTAAAAATCAAGGGAATCTCTCTGGCATTGCTACTAAAAATGTACCAAACCAAACCATGAATTTTGTGAACCCTAATGTACATATTTTCCAAAGCATACTAAAACCCCATGTAGCAACAGGTTACCCCTCACTGGTTCTAGTAGCATCAGATCCTACATTTGTATATCTTACGTGTACTGCATCGAAGCCACCAATCCAGGTGTGTACACGGGCGCCAGTCATTCTTTGAATATAGTCTCTGAGGAAGGCATTTTCGTCAGCACTGTGGACTGAGGCCAGATTCCCACCAAGAGAAATGCACACAGCCTAATGGGGGAGACGAATTGAGAGAACAAGAAAATAAGATTGAGAGGGTGAGAGTTTAAGTAGGAGAGAGAAACAGAGCAAAAGAGAGGAACACTGCATTATGCAGAGAGGTATTTTTGTTTAGCCTACTGCTTAGCCTACTGATGAAGTGGACAAAATAATAGAAACAACCATTAGTGTAATGGGATACTGCAGCCTTCAAAATGATCATAAAGTTAAATTCTCTAAATTAGAAAATTATAACCTACATGAAAGGTAGAATTTATTGCAGGACTGTTGTATTAGGTTGCATTATTTTTAGGCCGGTGTACCCAATAAACTGGCAACTAAGTATATGTGTATTTCCATTAAATATTTGCAGAGATATTTTGCTCTGTAACAAAGACAGGTCAAAAGACAGCCTGACCAAAGTGTAGCTAAATTGCACACACTCTGTGAGTATTTTAGCAATAAGCTATTCCAGTGGATCATAAGAATCACAATCAGTTTTTGTTCTATCAAGTACCTCTGCATCAATCCAGGGCTTTATTATGTAATTGAACAAGTAACAGCGAGAGCCAAACTGAGTCCAATCAGGAGGACAGGCAGGACCTGCAACACAATTGTCCGTGTTAAAGACAATACACAAATCAGGGGTGCAAACTTTTCACCTTTTGTTTGAATCCAAAATAGGTCATTTGTGTGATTCGTGTCTACAGGCAACTTGAACATCCTATTCGATTGGCAAGTTTTGCAAGTGCTTTAAGATAGGACAAAGCGTTTGTTTGCTTTTGTGCTTTGTTTAGTGTAATAGTAATTTGTATATGTTAAGTTATATTACACAGACTGTATATGTGTAAAAGAGAAAAGTCAGTGTCTGGTAACATCAAACATTTTGCCTTGTAATAGCAGGAAAAGCACAGGCATGGCTACATTACATTTAGGTATGCAAGTTTAAGGGTCCTGTTACTCATGCTGGCTCACAGACTTATTAGTTCACCTACATGGAACAGAGCCATTATTAATGTTATAAGCAAGACCTGTACTTTTCCTGCTATGACATGTCAAAATGCCTGCCATGAAACATTTATTAAACATGAAACAAACTAACAAATCTATAATTCAGTTACAAACCTGTCTCTTCCTCAACTGTCTGCGACATCTGAAAAGAAACAACACAGTGTTTGATCAGCTGGGAATTTGCTCTTTTAAGCACTTGCCTCGGCAGTTCCACTGACTCGTACATAGTATACTTTAGACACAGTGACAAGTGTTTTCCATACTCTGCTGTAAAAACAATTTAAGACAACATGTGTTTGTTAGGTGGGGCAAACAAGCGTGAATGGGTGAATGTGACTCGTAGTGTAAAAAGCGCTTGGAGTGGTCAGATGACTAGAAAGGCGCTATACAAGTGCAGGTGCAGGTGCAAAAAAATATAGCATTCAGCAGGGTTGGAAATTAATGCCAGCCACCAGCCAAATACTGGTAAAAAATGCAAGTGGGTGCTAGACTTAGCAGAGAAAAAAACTAATCTACTGAGTGGCTGGTAGATTATTTTAGTCCACAAGCCACAGTGGCAGGTGGACGAAAAAGTTAATTTCCAACCCTGACAGCGACTGTCGTATGTTTTGTACAGTTTTGTATATCAACATTATTATTAACTAAAGGACGACAATCAAATCGAAAGGGAACTTTACATATTATTGTTGTCCATATTATTTAGGCTACAATAAATCACCAAAATGATGGAATAAAGAGTTATTTTAATTCTTTGGCTGCTGGGCCAATGAAAACATACAAGCTAAAACTCTAATCTCTGTGACATTGTTTGTCATTTGTGATAAATCAGTTTTCTGTGTGGGGATCTTTTTGGACCTGACAACAAAAGTCAACTCTGTTTATAAATGATCTTTATCTTCAGTAGAATTGTGATCGAGTGTCTATGTGTGTGTGTACATCATACCAGTAACTGCTGTTTAGGATCAGTTGGTTTGTAAGTGGTCGAGTTATTTTTCACGTGAGCCTCCAGAATTTTTAGTTCTGTAATAAACTAGACATCTAGCATCAGAAATACCTTGAAGTGACTCTGCAGCTTCAGTATCAACTTGTGAAACTCATCTCCTGCTCTCTACATTTTTTTTAATCAGGAATGACTGAATCATCTTTGCTCAGATGCATTTTAGCGTCTAGTCACAGTCCAAGAGAAAAAAAGAAAGAAAGCAAAGTCAAGTTTTGTGGAGTGTTACTTACAGTTCTTGCAATGAATAGTCCACTGGTCACAGAGAGGAGGAAAACCAGGTGAAAACCTGATGCCATCTGTGGAAAGTCAGTGCTTAGATTATTTCAGACACACAGTGTAGCCAGATAATTAAGTATGCATGTGAAAGATATGTACAGAAACCTTTGAAACATTCCAAAAAATATTTTGAAGTGACATAGGAAACCTTTTAAATTATTACCTTTTGCTGTAGTGACAGGCAGAGCAGTTGAAGAGACAGCAGATTTTGTGGTGGAAAACCAGTCGGGCATTATATAGCATGTCTCTAGCTTTTCTCTAGAATGTAAAACATCTCATTTGGGTGTCAGAAAACATGGGGCATTCCCACATGCAACAATAAGGCAACAAACAAACCAAAAAAAAAAAAAAAATACAGTGTATCCTTGATTCTTTGTTTGTAATGTTTGTCAAGTCAATTTCCCCATTCTTATTTGTCTGTGTGAGTTGAGTAAAGTGGCCAAATGTAATTTCATCAGGCCATAAAACTTTTTTTTTTGTCTTTCAAATGGTAGTTCAGATTTCATGTGAATAGTTTTCAATAGGGCCATTGTCTTTGCCACTCTGGCACTAAATTGGTGTAGCATATACGAAAGCGTTGCACTGTATGTGCGATGCCTCTCATCTTCTTCTCATCCATCTCATCCATTAATCCCTGTCCATCGGTTGGAGGACATTAAATGTCATGTTCAGGGAGTTTTAGGGTTTAGAGTTTTAGAGTTTTAGCCTGAAGGACTGAAACCCTATTGTTTTTGTGTTGTTTATTATTATTATTATTATTATTCAGAAATGTTTTTGCAAATTCCTGTGAGATGGTACATCATAGGGACATGAAACATTCACCAATGATTGGAAGTTGTATGCAAATGCTGCTCAAGAAATAAAATGCCAAACAGCCAGATTGGGGCACTATAAACAGGGTCGAATTTTTTTTCATAAACACATTTTTGACATCTTCTCCTAAGCTCTAGGTCGCATTTGTACCAAAGTTTCTGTGGCTCATCATTGGACTAAGCTTATCAAAATTATCAAAAGGTTGTTGATATCTCATTGTGTTTCGAAGATATTGACCAATGAACTTTAGTGGGGGCTTAGCACACAACAGCTTAGCACAAACCTTTGGGCCAGTCATCACAAAACTTGACAGCAATGTCTTAAGTGGTACCAGGAACATATCCTTAACATTTCCCACAGATACAAAAGATGGGCATGGGATAATACAAATCAGACAATAAATCAGAAAATGATTGTGCAATCATTATAAAACCTGTAGGGTATGTTAAATACAAGTGATGAGCCAACAATAAGGGAAAGGGCGAAAGTGCAGCTGGTGCTGGTGTATTGATACTGCAAAAAATGAGTACTGAAACCGTTTTAAATATCCAGGATCGATATGTATTGATAAATCAATAGTTTTTGCAACACTTTGTTAAACAAATTTTTTTATTCACATATAACCACAGCACAGTTTTGGCAGAACATCCACATGTGTGAAAATAAAGAAATTAACCCATCTTTAACTCAGTCTGTTGTTATATGTTCATAAGATTTCTACTGGTACCCCTGCCCTGATGGACATTTACTCTATGGTGGTACCACAAAAACCATTGCAGTCAAGGATATATTCATGATACTGTAAATTTTGGGAATTTCTTGTTGATGAAAAATGAAGCCTTATTTTTGTGGTAATTTTCAAAATTTTGTACACATTGAGTGTCCAGTGTACATTAGTTTTCCTTTTTATTTCTTTCAATTTGAAAGGGTAACTGCCCACAACACATTACTGCTTTGTAACATTATAGCCTGAACAAGGAAAAATGGTGGCTTTGGATTGTTGCAAGTTTTCTGATTGGCATCATGTTTGAAAATGCGGAAATTACTGTCACAAAAAGGTGTAACATGCAGTCAACCACATTTTTGTTTAGCAGCCAAGAAAATGAACCCTGAAGCAATCTGATATCAGGTGGTTTCTGTCAGCCTTGTCGGGAGAGTAAGAGCGCAAACTTATGATAGCATCCGTCTTAAGATAAATTGTGAACATGCAAATTTCACTTCATTGTTTTTTTGCTGGGCTGCCAGTGGGTCTGTGTGTGTGTGTGTGTGTGTGTGTGTGTGCGTGTGTGTGTGTGTGTGTGTGTGTGTGAGATTGTGTGCATGTGTGTATCTGTCTGTTCACAGCTAATCCTGCATATTACTGGACCAATCATCTCATTTTGCTGACCTCGATATTTCAAGGTAAACATTAAGAATTCAGGTCTGTGTTGATGAAGTCAGCATACATCCTGATAAGTAAGCAGTAATGCGGTCTGTAAACTAGCTTTCATTACATGTAGGAGTCTACTGATATGACTAATAACAACACACAACAGTCACATTTTTTTATTTCAATTTTGACTGCTAATTGCCCCTCATATGAATTCACTTTGATTATATATATATATATATATATATATATATATATATATATAAAAATTACTCTGGTTGCTCTAAAACATTGAGTTTTATAATATTCAAACCTAATCCTGTCCTATTTTTTTTTTTTAATAACAGACTTTTCATAAGGAAATTATATAGTAATAATAATAAAAAAAAAAACAATATTTATCCCTGATCAATAAAGGAGCTGGCTAAAGCCAAAAAGGCAGTCTGAGGCACTCTGATTGAAATGTAATAAAAATCCTTTAATCAACAGGGATGACCAACGCGTTTCGACTTACATAGTCTTCTTCAGGGTAGAAGTGATAGAGTACAGGTGCTATTTAAAGAGTCTCAGTGATCATGTGATATTTATCCCTGTTTGTCTGTCAAATGGAACAAAAAGAATAGAATGAAGGTTGACTTACTGGTTCATCATGAGCAGCATGCTTTTTGAAGGTGAAATGTTCTTTATACATTTTATGCATAAAGTGGTGCCTTCGCACCATCAGTCAGCTCATCAATATCACTGCATGATTCCTTGAACATGTCCCAGTCAGTTTTTTCAAAGCAACCCTGCAAGCTCAGTTTGGAATCATCAGTCCAGTTGTGGATCTGTTTGGTGATGATTTTACCTCTCCTGGGGACAGAGCGATAAGCTGGCATGAGCTGCACACAGTTATGATCAGCCCCACCCAGTGGAGGAAGGGGGAGGGACTTAAATGCTCCTTTGACAGAACCATAACACAGGTCCAGAATCTTATTATGTCTGGTGGGGCAGGTGACGTATTGATAAAAGTTTTTGTGAGTTCTTTTTAATGAGCAGTGGTTAAAGTCGCCAAGGACAAAGACAGGAGCATCGGGAGATAGAGACTGCAGCTTCTGGGTCACTTTTAGTATAGACTCCGAGGCTTCCTCCTCGTTGGCTCTCGGGTGGATATACACAACGGTGACGAATATCTGGGGGAATTCCCGGGGGAGGTAGTGGGGACACAGGGACACGGACAGCAGTTCAGTGTGTTTAGTGCACACTTTTTCTCTGATAATGTCGGTTTTGCACCAACGCTCATTAACATACAGGCACACACCCCCGCCCTGTGATTTGCCAGTGACTCCGGCATCCCGATCTAGGCGGACCGGCTCGCCAAATCCTTCAATGGACATTTCCGCATTTGAGTCTCTATCCGAAAGCCAAGTTTCAGTAAACGCCAGTAAACATGCGTTTCTGAATTCATTTTGAAATCGTGCTTGGGCTTGGAGTTCATCAAGTTTATTACGGAGAGACTGTGCGTTAGCAAGGATGATAGACGGTAGTGGGATGCGCGAGAGCGACTGTCTCCGCAGGCGTTGTAGTAAACCACCACGTCTGCCCCGCTTCCTCGTTTTGCGTAGCGGAGCATTAAAGTCTTTCTGATCGCCTTCCCTATGATCAGTAAAGGAGTCCAGGCTTGGAAAGATTAGATCCAGGGGAGGAACTGACGGGGGGTCGCTCCACTGCAGAAGAAACTCCTTGCTATATTGAGTCCGAGCCGGCTGATCATATGACAGATGTAGACCAGATGAAAGGCAGAACGCCAGCCACAGTAGGAGAAAACACACTGTAAACTCCATTGTTCATTAAGAGACACACCTTCCAGTCAAGTTTTAGTCCCGGACCATATCCACCTTGTTGATCAGTCCAGATCCACTGTATTAAAAGCCAGGATCACTAAAGAAAACACTTACAACACGTACACAGACACAGACGTACTTGCTGCCGGTCGCTGCACGAGCATGCGCCTTCTCTGTGCCACCAGGACACCAGTAAAGAAGTTCAGTCCAAAAGAAATTCTGATCCTGATCCATTATACCATGTCCCCTCATTGTCTTTCACCAAACTTACCAAGTGAACTTTGAAGGATTATGTTTGCCTATTTTGGGACATGTTTTACAAGTAAAAGAAAAAGGCGGATAGCAGTGGGGATGGGGTCTTGTTTTGCTCCCAACTATGAACATTTGCAGCGACGTACGGTGTCGGCATGGATCGTGAACGACAAAGGGTGTCGTACACGATAATTCATCGTTTCATCTCGTGTAGTGTGTCATAGTAGACGACAACCAACGCCACCTCTGGGATGCCTCATGACGTTCCAACAGAAAGTCTAGCATGTTTGATTTTCTTTTTGTCGTTCAAGATTTCTCCCGTCACAGCTGTCACTTTGACCAATCGAAACACAGAGCTGCAGAGAACTGCAGAGGCTACCAGCTTCATTTAAAACAGACTACATTATAAACAGGTCTTTATTCATTATTCCCTCCGAATTTTCAAACTCAACAATTCCTGTATGTGTTTCAAATTAAAAGCCCCTTATGACTTCGGTTAAGAGAATCCCTTCATTTTCTAAATAGGCTTTTATTGTGAAACATTTGCAGGAACTTGTTGTGGAGTCATAGTTAGCATGCGGAACTTCAGATGTCGCTCCTGCCTAGCCTGGTTCCAGACCATAGACCCCGCCCACTCAACTGAGTAGGCTTGCATTACTGGTCTGGCATACTTCAATGAATTTGCGATTTATCTCGTCCAAATGATGGACGGACCAATGAACGCCGGGGGTCTAGCGATTAGCCAATCAGCGCCACGCTGATGTCAAGCTGTATGCCGGTGGGTAACTGGTGAAGATAGCAACAATGGCGACCGCTACAGATCCTACAGACCACATTAAAGGGCCAGTGTGTAATATTTGGCATGGTTTATTGTCAATCTGAATCTGAATCTGAATATTCTACCCATTAATATGTTTATACAAGTGTATGATCGCTATAAAATAAAATTCATTTGGTTTTCGTAGCCTTATAATTATGCTTTTATATTTATATATATATATATATATATA